TAGTCATTCCTCGAGTGAGTAGAGACATCACCGAATACTGTGTCTGTTATCACGATGTGTAGCAAACCATCCCTAAACTCCATACCCTAAAACAAGAACAGTTTACCATCTCTCGTTAACCTAAGGACCAGTGAGGCCATTCTGATCTAGCCAGTCTTGGCTGATTCTGGCTGGATTCACTGTTGCATCTGCAGTCCAGTTGGCAGGTCTGCCTGGTCCTTCCTGGTTTAAGATGTCCTTGGCTAAGCCAGGTTAGCTCTTCTCCATGTGTCTCTCCCAGCCCTCTGGCGGGTTAGCTCAGGCATGTTTCCGTGGTGGTGGCAGGGGCCAAAGCGAGGAAGTGGAAACATGCAAGTGTATGTGCAGGCCTGTGCAGGCCTCAGGCTTGCTACTGTCCACTTGACCAAGGCAAGTCATGTGGTTCAGTCCAGAGTTTATGTTGGAGAAGTAGGTACAGGGAACTGAAATACTGGGCCATTGCTGCAGGCAGTCTACCACAGATACGTACTCTGTGCCAGAGTCTGTCTAGACCTTGTGTTGTTTTGCAGATGTTAGTTACCAGTGCATTTGCTCCCAGCTGGTTGGATGCTCTGGTGATAATGAGCAAACTTCTTTTAGCAGGTTAGACCTATTAATCTTACTTGTTTTGGGTGTTCACTTCTTGGATTATTGAAATGACATTTATTGTTTGGGAAGCAGAAGAAATAGAAGAATCACTTGTTTAGTGATACCCACATTGTGATACTAAACTCCTTTGCATATTCTAGTCACTTAAACTTGTTGACTGAAAAGGCATGGTGTCCACAGCAAGGAGAAAACATCTTGTTGTAGAGATTTAACACATGTCTGTATGAAAAGGTCAGTTATTTAATGTCTCCAACAGCATTTGATGAGCTAGATTCCTCCTATGAAATGCAAAACTTTAAACTGGGAGACATTGCAGTCTATCTGTTAAAGGCAGACCTTATGTGTTGAGGCCTTAGGAACAGAGTGGCCCCTTTACTTTTAAGTAGTGGCCTTGGGAATAGAGATCATTAAATAATAGTTTGTAAAATGTGCTCTTTTGGGTCCTTGTCAGGAAGTGACTAAAACATCCAAATTTCAAACCTGTTTTTTTTTTTTTTTTACAAGATTCACAGGATCAGTGTTTGTCTAGTGTTCATCCTCCTCATCATCAGTGAGAATGGGAGAGGGAGCTGGAGGAGCCAGTAGTAGGAAGGCGGTGGGTAGAGAAAGGATTGAGACAAGTGGACAAGCAGAGAAATGTCAGAAAAAGTTCACAGAAGTGGAGAAGTGAGTGGCTGGGACAGAAAATAAATCTCAGGGCTAACTTCTGAGCAAGAGATTGGCCCAGCAGAGTTTACCTTCCAGATGCACCCCAGTGACTCTTGCCCCCAAAAAGAAGGTCACTGTGGCATGAAGGCTCATGTAGGGTTTCCTCAACTTAGATTTTGCCCTGTATCTCAGTTTTTCTACCAGGTGTGCCCACAGGTTACCTGCCTCACTAGGTGGAAGGGCTTGTTGCTGTTCTTGAAAACTAGTGGGAGTAGGGCAGGGAACTGGTTAATAAAAGCAGCTACTGATTTAATGATAAAAAATTTTAAGGGAAATAATAAACTCAAGAGATGATTTTCTTTTCTTTCACAATTTAAGGTGCCAATTTTAAAAGTAGGAAACTGTTGAAGTAGATTATTCTGTGGATGTAAATTCAGCCTTGCTTTGGCTGCATGCAGAAAAATAACCTGAAGTCTTCCTACAGCATAGTGTCGGGAGAGCGCTGGCAGAGCAGCAGTCTGGGTTCTAGCCCTGGCTCTGCTTTCTGCTTACTAATCTGTCACTCCAGCTGCATAGTGAAGGTTTTTGGATTTGAAGATCTTTTGGGACCCTGTCAACTCCAGCACACTGATATGTTCTTTGGATCTCTGAGGCTGTGGTAGATCCTTACCTTGGGAACACTAATTTTGATCGATTCTAGAACAAAATGGGTAGGGTGAGGAAGCTGTAATACGGAGGCACATTAGGTACTGTGTGGGTGGCAGAAGGTCAAAAGAGGCTCGGTTCAAGTGAGTATAAACCATCAGTTACCTCCTGCTTTTCCCACCTGATGGCAATCCAACATTTAAAAGACTTCGGAATTGACTCTAGCTTAAAGACCGCAAAATTGGCCGCCTTAAGAAATGAAACTATAAGTTAATATAATTAATGTAACTCATTATGTGTATATCTTAAGCTCTGTCAGACCAATCTGCAATAGTTAAAGCAGTGAAAAGTAGAGTTACCTGTAGTTGACACCATAGGAATAGCTACCTAAGGTATAGCTTCTACTGAGGTATAGTTACCTAAGGTTAGAAATCTTATCAAAGAGTGGGTATATGATCGGAGTCTTTGAAATCACGATTAGTGTAAAGTAAGTAGCAGAGAATGGATAAACGCATCAAATACCAATACACTTGAATGGAAGACCGTTCTTTTAAAAACTTAAAATTTATAAAGATAACACTAGAGATGTAAAAACAGTAAAATTAATACTGGAGGTGCTGTCACGTGGAAATATAGAAGGTTTTAATTCAACAAATTAGGATAAACCTATGCATGAAAGGTCTATCAGTGAACATTAAAAGAAATGAAAATGCTTGGAGAACATCTCTGAGCTCCAGATGAGATTCTAGGAAGATAACTGTGCCCTTTTATGACATGAGTCAGCAAACTTTCTGTAAAGCATCAGATAGCAAATATTTTAGGCTTGCAGGCCAGTGGTCTCTTGTCTGGTTAACTCTACCATCATAGTGTGAAGTAACCATATACACTATGTAAGTGAATGAATGGGTGTGACTGTGTCCCAGTAAAACTTTATTTACAGAACAGGCAGCAGGCAAGATTTGGCCTGTGTGTGATAGTTTGCAAACTTATTTGTAAATGAAGCTAGGGTCCCTAAGTATTTCTCCTTTCTAAGCCTCAGTTTCTTTCTGGCTTCTGTCAAACAAGAAATTGCTTTAGATGATCTTTGACATTTTTTGGATTTTGTTTCCTTTAATACCTTTCTCTGAAGCCAAGTGACCCACAAGGCTGACCCAAAGAGATATCTTTTTTTTGTAATGTCAAATTTTTAAAAATCCAGTTTGAACAAATCTGTAGGTCTCTAGAGCAGAATTTCTCAACCTTGACACTATTGACATTTTGGGCTGTATAGTCCTTTGTGGTGGGGAGCTGTCATCTACATTGTTGGGAGATTACCAGCACCTCTGGGATCTTCTACCCACTAGATGCTAGCAGTGTACACACCTCTCCCCCCACCAGTGAGGACAACCAAAAGTATGAGATGTTGCTGAATGTTCCCTGGGAAACAAGTTACCCCCAATTGAGAACCATTGCTCCAGACACTTCAAGAGCAGCTAGAAGAACACCAAAATGGGAAATCAGGCCTTGTAACCCAGGATGACCACCAAGATAATAAACGCATTTCTTCAGGTACAAGTTCCAAAAAGCCCAAACCAAAAGGAGCAACCAGCTTATTAGAGAGAGAAGGGCTGTGAGAATTGTTTTCACACAATCAAAAGGGGCTGCAAAGCTGGTCGTAGATTGGTTTTTAATATTGATTTCGATCATTTTATGGAAAATGTTCCTGAAACCATTGTACCAAAATAGAGGGCTAGCTATAATAGGTAGGTGAAAAGTCAAACTAAAACAAAGAAAGATGGATGAAAAGAGATAGAAAAAAGATTATTATTAAAGATCACCAAGAATATTTACTTTTCACTACTCTTACATAGCTTGATGAGATAGCTAACAAAAAGGATTCATACTGGGTAAACTCATTAGCCCTTAGGTATGAGGCCTTGATGTTGTTTTTTGTTTGACTTTAACAAATGGATATATCAAGTATGGTTTATTCCTGCAGTAGAGTATTATTTAGTGGAGAAAATTAATGCAATACAGCTTCACACAACTACATAGATGCATTCTCAAAGACAGGTTTTAAATGTCATAAAGCTGGTTCTTTAACAAGTCCAGATCCCATAGCTGGCTTATGATTTAGCTACTGCTAAAAGCCAAAATCATCTCTACTCAACAATAAGAATGCATTTGATTTCCATCTACTTTTTGTTTATGCTCATATTATTTTTCTTAGGAATTCATTCTCTTCCAGTTATGAGTGATACTAATCATAGCTGACAAGCCTTCAATATCCAAATGGATTTGAATAAGGAATTTTTTGTTCTTGTCTTGTTTTGCTTCTTATTTTCCTTATAGTGACTTTAACACAGTGTGATGTTTTCTGAACAGTAATCTAAGAGCTCTAGAAATACAAATTCTATTCTCAGTCTCTGCTTTTGACTTGCTCTGTAACCTGGGGCAATCTTCCTGCTGCTAGGGAAACAGCTTCTTCATCTGTAAACTGGTTGAGAGATTCCCCATCCTTGGCCCCAGGATGGCTACATAATCATTTTTGAAGCCTTGTTTAAAATTTAGATTTCTGTGCTTCGCTCCCAAATTCTGATTCTGTATTCTGGGGTAAAGCCTGGGAAGCCTAGGTGGCTCCAGTGCATGGCCCTGTTTAAAAACATTTGAGATGATCTCTAAGGTCCTTTCAACTCTAAAATGCAGTGGATATATGGAGTGTGAATTTCCCTAAATGTCCTTTATTATATTATTTTCCAGAAGCTTTTTTATATACTGCAAGAAATAATTGAGATTAATACACTGGAGATCCCCCCACTGATCCCCCAATGTTCCATCATTGGTACAGGCTTACATAATAAATTTGGTTTGCTATAATGTGATCATCTTATGGCTCAGGGTGATAACCTTGATCCCCAATATGTGTTAGAAGATGGTTTCTCTTTTCAGCAGAATGCAATCTCATAGCTTCTTTGTTTTAAATCTTGGATTTAGAGAAGAATTAAATAGTTTGAAATCCTGATTTCCACCTAACCATAAAGTGGAATGAAATTAGGAATTCTATGTGGTGGTTAATTTATTTGTTTTTCTTTAATTTACAGAATGCTCTTTTCAATTGCATTAGCAGAAATGAAAGTAAGTATTATTGTCAAAGGTTATACAAGCAGTCCAAATAGTAAAACACAGTTTACAGAATACGATTTCGCTGTTACAAGACCCTAGCATTATGATGTAGGCTTTTAATAAGCCATCTGAAGGAATGTGCTCAGTAGGATTCTGATAGGCTCTTTCCTCTGGGATATCCAGCCTTTCATGAATTATAACAATTCCCATGTCCTAATTGCAGATTTACAAATCAGATACCAGTGCCAAATGGAAAGATTATGCCCCGCTTGAATAAATAGTGTCACTTTCAGAACTTAGGTGCTGCCATGCAATGTAATGTAGCACTTGCTGAGGGTTGCCTCTCAGTTCATTCAGTGTTTATTGATTACTTGCTCATAGATGGGCAGACGCACATCTGTGTGGGACACATCTGTGCACAAAGAACTCAGGAATATGGTGGCCTTGGGAATGTGTCACTGAAAGCTCTGTGAAAGTTCAGAAAAAGGGATCACATCCTGCCGGAGTGCTTAGAGGTGACTTCATCGAGTTGGTGTCTGAGCTGCACCTTGAAAGATGGACAAGATATGAACAGTGGAGACTGAAAGACATTCAATCTGAGATTCAATAATGAGAGCGGTTAGAGATGGGAAAACACATCTGAGGAATGAAGAGCTATTTAAATTAACGTGGCAATGGGACGTATCAAAGTATAATAAGAAACATTAGTTGTGTATACTTTATCTTCTATCCTTTCTGGGGCTTAGTTCAAAGTTTCCCGGATAGTGCCTGGCTAGTAATCTTATATCCTCCCACATTGGTGAGGATGCCAGCCTCCTGGAGGAATCAGAAGATAGGCATCTTTGTCCTATTTTCACTGTCTTCTGTCCTGACCATCCCTGTTATTCTCACTGAGCTTGACCTGGTAAATGCAGCCATTAGTAACTGTTCTTTGTGATGAAACTGAATAGTTCAACAATGAGCACAGTTGTTTGGTAATGATTTAAAGGTGGCACAGTAGGTATGAAATAGTTTCCTGATCCAGGAAACTGAGGCCTGTCCTGCATCACTTCAGTTCTAGTTTAAGTAATTTCTATATGATTTTGTCATAATTTCTGGAAGTTCTCCTGAATTCCCCGTTTATTCTAGAATTCACTGGAAACCTACTTCTGATTCTTTCATAGCCATTTCCTGCTTGCCTTTCTCTTTACCTTTTCCTGACATCCCTCTACCTTGGTTCCCTTCAGCCTCCCACAGATCCCTTAGCCACACCTATGGGGGCCTCTTGCTCTTCTCCAGTCTAAGTCCCATATCTCACCCCCAAACACTCATGTAGCTCTCCACAGATACCTTAAATGGTCCTTCTTGATTTTTAAAAATACATAAATCCAGAATGATACTAACTTTAAATGTGGGTTTTACTTCTCAGTGTTGAAGCAGGTCATATCAGTTGTGAGGTAAACACTGTTTCAGTGTGGGCACATTCTTGCAGATGTTCAAATGGTATAGGCCTTTGGGGATTTTGTTTCAAGATATACAGTTATATAATTGTCAAATTTATGAAATGATCCTCATATCTATTAGTTTTTACTGGTCCTATTTTATAAATGTGAGGCGTTTGGAGTTCTGTTTTATCTTGGTTTTGTTAGTTTTTTAATGCTTCGCTTTGTAAATCTCCACAAATCTTATGGGGAAAGGGACTGTTCCACTGGTTCTCAGCAGGGGCACTGTTAGCATTTTAGCAGACAGTTTTGGTTATGTGAGACTGTCCTGTGTGTTGCAGAGCATTTAACAGCCAAGACCCCCCCTGTACTAAATGCTAGCAGTAGTCCCCAAGACATCGTGACAGCAAGAAACACTTCCATATGCATCCAAAACCTCCCAGAGGGTGGTACTGCTTCTGCTGAGAACCACTGGACTGCAGATTATAAATTGATGAATAAAGACTTTCTTATACAAGTGAGCACCTGAATGTCCCCATGGCTGTGCCTACAACAGTAATGCTGATTTTAAGTACTTGTTCTATGCATGATTTTATTTCTCAAGTTCAAAAAGACACATATTATTCCATCATTATGATGATTTAATGTTAGCCAGTAGCTGTTTCTGTTTCAGTGTCATCTCCTGTCTTTCCCCTTAGTGGGCTCAGTGTGCTGCAGTTACGCAGGCCATCACACAAACTGCCGAGAATACTGTCAAGCCATTTTTCGAACAGACTCTTCTCCTGGTCCATCTCAGATTAAAGCAGTGGAAAATTACTGTGCCTCTATTAGTCCACAATTAATACATTGTGTGAACAACTACACCCAGTCTTATCCAATGAGGAACCCAACAGATAGTAAGTAAAAGGGACATATTCCTCTCATTTCAGTCTTTGGAAAAATAATTTGCAAATAGGAAATCTGTGTAAATATCTACAGTCTGGGTCATTTCCATTGGTGGTTTAGATTTGGGAGACTGGGCATTCCTGTCAGAGCTAAAAGATTCCAAGAAAGATGGAGCTGTCAGTGGTGTGAGGAAACAGGCTCTGTCTATCCTGTGGGTGGGAGAACTCACTGTAGGAAAGGTTGGATGATGACCTTGAGATTTCTAAGTAGTCATACCCTTTAATCTAGCAATTCCATTACTCAGAATTTGTCCTTCAAGAAAATGCAAAAATTTGAAAAAACATATCTCCATGTAAAGAATGTTCACTACAACATTGGAGGTAATAGAGGAAAACCAGAAATAACCCAAATATCTATCAATAGGGCATTGACTAAAATTGATTAAATAAATTAATGTATCTGTATAATAACAATGCTATACGACCAAGATAAAGAAGTCCAAGAATACAATAAACAAAAAAATCTAAGCTACAATAAACAAAAATGTTAAATTGTAGAACTAAATGTATAATATGGTGGTTTTTAGTTATATACCTGTTTGTTCCACATTGTATGTATCTGTAATGTTTGAATTTTTACCAATCAATAGTTACTGCTTTTACAGTAAAACATCATAAAAAGGAGAAGAGATCTTGATATGTTTTAAAATCAGGGCCTCCTAATGAGCCTGCACCTTATGGGGTTTTCAGAGGCTCAGCTTTGTATGTCCTATAATCCATTTTCTTCATTTAGAGGTGATCAAACTTTATTAAAGAACTGGCATGTTAGCCAAACTGACAGAAGACTTATAAGATTTATAAGCTAGATGCCAGTGTTTTGATTTATACTAGGACATTGAAAGACTTGTTTTTATAAACTCAAAAGCAGTGTTATGTGCCTTGTTTGTCCAGCATCTAAGGCAGGATGCTAAGACTTACAACATTCTGTGGTGTGGCTCTGTGATAAAAATCAAAGGATGCAGCATTTGCAACAAATAACCTTCATCTATATTTTAGAGGCAGATCTGTCCTCACTGACATTTAGGCTGTACTTGGTGCTGCTGGAGCTAAGGTGATAGCAGCTTAAAAAAGAAAGCAGAAAAAGAAAGGTAGAAGAGCAACCATCTCAAATGTCTGTGCTAATACATAGGAAACCTGGAACTACAGATATACCTGAATTGATTTTTTTTAAAGTCAAAGACAACTAAAGCTACTTCAGAGAAGCCCTTCTGAATTCTGTAGTCTGGTTGATAGTATTCTATTACTTTCTGATTCATTGTAGAAAATTAATGGTGGAAGCAAAGTGACACCTTGTCAGAGTTTGCTATTATATATTATTTAAATTACAACTTAGATTAATAAACTTACACAGATATATAAAGCTTTATATCCCAGAATGTAATGAAATGTGTTTGTGGTTATTGCTATTAAAATTAGTCATCTCTCATGTCCTCTCAAAAAAAAACACCAGGCAGTCTCTCTCTGAGAGGAAAAAAAAAAAAATCGCATATTATATGATTCTATTTATATAAAATGTCTAGAATAGACAAATCTATAGGGACAAAAGTAGATTAGTGGTTGATTAGGGCTGGGAAGAGGGGCATTAATTAGGTAATTGGAAGTGACTTTTAATGAGACCAGCTTTCTTTCTGGGTTGATAAAAATATTCTAAAATTGTGGTGATAGCTGTACAACTCTGAAAAACCACTGAATTGCACACTTTAAAATGTTGTACTTTATGGAATGTGATTTATATCTCAATAAAAGTTTTTTGAGAAGTAAAAAAAAAAAAAATTCCAAGGATAAGTGAATTCCAACCCAGAAGCCTATTTCCTCCTGTTATGGACTGCATGTTTGTGTCCCTCCCAAACTCATATGTTGAAACTCTCCCTCCCAAGGGGATGATATTAGGAGATGGGACCTTTGGGAGGCAATTAAATCATGAGAGTGAAGCCCTCATGGATGGGATTGATGTTACGAGAGCGCTTGCTTCCTCTTTCTGCTCTCTGTCATGTTGAGGGGACAATAAGAGGTTTGCAGACTGTAACTCAGAAGCAGGCTGGCATCCTGATCTCAGATTTCTAGCCTCCAAACTGTTGGAAATAAATTTCTGTTGAAAAAAAAAAATTAGTCATCTCTCTCGTTTTCTCTTTTTATCAAGAAAAGAATCCCTTTTTAAGTAGTTGTTTCTAGCCTGAAATAATTCCAGTTTGATCTACAATACTTTTCCCAGGAACATAAAATACCTCACATGTAAGGACTTCTTAGGTGTAGGATGGTCTTTTATTTAGAGAGGAATGGTGCTAGATACTCCATGACTGGGGACAGTGGTGAATTCTGGTAATTGATACCTAGCCCACCTTTAGCTCTTCACTTATATGCTACACTGCAAAGTAATGGAGAGAGGATTTGGTAGGCCCTGTACACTGCAGGTACTGACATATGATTCAGGGTAGTAATAGTTTCCACTGTGCCACCACGTTTTTCTGTTCTGAGCAGTGCCTGACAAAACCAGCTAACTAAGTCACATGTACTCTGAAAATGTAGGTTTATATTGCTGTGACAGAGCTGAAGACCATGCTTGCCAAAATGCCTGCAAGAGAATTCTGATGTCTAAGAAAACAGAAATGGAGATTGTTGATGGCCTCATCGAGGGTTGTAAGACTCAGCCTTTGCCTCAGGATCCTCTTTGGCAGTGTTTTCTTGAAAGCTCACAATCTGTTCACCCTGGAGTCACTCTACACCCTCCTCCCTCTACGGGCCTTGATGGGGCTAAATTGCATTGTTGTTCTAAAGCGAACACTTCAACATGTAGGTCAGTATCTCATTTTCCTTTATTAAAACCAACAGAAAATAGCATTTTAATTAATGATTTTAAGTCTAGCAAATGTGTGCTATGTTTTTGCATTGTGCAGACTTGAGGTTTAGAACATATAAAATCTTTCATTCTTTCATCCCGCAAGTACTTACTGAACATGATGCATATATGAAACATTGTGTACATTGAATGCTAAAAGCACTGTGTTTTGGGATGTGGAGGATTAGCATTGGCAGGGCAATACATACTTAAATATGGTGCAATGTGGATTCTACCCCCAAGTATATCATTAAGTCAGCTTACAATTTAGAAGGTGTTTTGATATGATATCTCAGGGGTATTCTTTTCATTAAGTTATGAAACTTTGAACTTAACCAACCTTTCATATATATTGGTGAATAACCTGGGTTGGCACTTAGATAGCTGTGTGTTGGCATTCATTTGTGATAAAAAATTAATAATGCAAATATAGGATGGAAGAAACACAATCTAGAGACAAGAATAAATGGAGATAACTGAGGTCATGGTAGAACTCAGGTGAAATAAAAGTTTGCATTTTTAGAGACATTTTGGGTGAAAAGGGACCACATATTACTAGAATATCCTGAAGTGAATATGACATACCATGATTGGTTTGCTTATCAAACTTTACCAAAGGTATAAAAAATCTGGAAAAGATCCAAAGAAAATTACCAGAAGAGCTTAAAGAGAAATAAAGTTGGTTATGAAATTAAGGAAATTGGGTTGCTGCTAGGAATTAATAATTTATGGGAGAGACATTTCTGGAAGAGATACTGAGTAATTTGAATATCCACAAAAGAGTTTATGTCCTAAATTCACTGGAGGTTGGACTGGCTCTGTCGTCACAGAAGAACTTGAGTAAGAAATAAATAGCATTTGCCCTCTCTTACCTTGACGTAAGATCTTAGGGCTGGCAGAGAGAGGGCTTTCACGTCCATTCACTTTTGTTCTCATGAAACCTTTTAAAATGATTGGTGTCATTTTGCATAATTTCTATTTATATGTAAAAAATGAACTCAGATGTTAAATAGTCTGTCCAAGGTGCTACAGAAAGTTAAGGACTGGAGAAAGGACTGTTTTCCAGGTCCGGGTACCTAATGTAATGTGATGGCTGCTTCCTCGTCCTCATGACTTGTAAGCTCCTTTGAGACAGACCTTGTCCTTTGTTCACCAGTGCATTTCTAGTGCCCTGAACAGGGCCTCACTCAAAATAGGCACTCAGTGAACTGTTTATTGAGCTTATAAGAACAAACTTATTAAAGTAAAGATACCCTTCTTGTAGGGCTAATTTTGAGGGTCAAATAAAATCTGAAGGAAGCGAAGAATTTTTCCTTGTGACTTTGCATATTTCACTCACAGTATTAAAATTTTGTATTACGTGTATTACTTTCTTTTTACATTTCTATTACATTTATAAATTTAAAAAATTTAACTTGAATATAATATGTGAAAGCCCTTTGTACTGATATTAGTTTAGCTATACATATGCACTTAAGTTGTGTTGTGATCATTGAGTACTGAAAAATAAGAATGTCATATATTAACTACTATATATAGTATAATACAATCATATAAATACTATCTACAGTATATAGAAGCTTTGGAATTCATAAGCCTTTACATGTAAACTATCTTGGTATATCTTAAGGAATATAAGTGGCTTTGGAATCGTTTCTTAGGGAGAAACTAGTGAACCCTAAAGGATTCTGTGCTTTTTAAAGGAAGTCTGAGACTGTGTCACGGTTTACCTCCTGTGACTGAGATGTAAATATAGTGGAATATGTCTTTGTGGAGACAAAACCATATGTTTTACTTTACTTTAAGTAAAGGTAAAAGAGAAATCAGTGTTGAACCACTGTAATGTACATTTGATTAAAAAAAAAGTGAAGGTGAAACAATTTCTGTTTCACTCAGCCTGATTGCAGAACTAGCCCATGGGACAGCCCTCTGTGAAATTACACCTCTTACCACCATGCTGGCTCTCAAAGGGCTTCACTGAAACCTTTTAGTCAAGGACCCCAAATAGGTTCAGTCAACAGAAGAGAGATTCCATTAAAGAGAAAATTATCCCTACAATTGGGGGTTTTGGAGAACAAGTAATGACTGGGAAATGATCACTAAGAAAAAAATGAAAACTATCTGTTGTAATCTTAATTTAAAATAAATCTGATAGATCAAGGGAAAGAACTATGTATGTAATATTATCCCTATATATGTAATATATCCCTAATTTCATGGAAAATATATTTGTATTCATATTGAAAGAAACAGCAAGTGCTAACAATTATCTGCAGTCTAGATGCTGGAATTAGGACTAATTTTTTCTTTGTCCTTTACTATTCAGTATTTTCTACCATTAAAATGTACTCATTTCAAATCAGAAAAAAAGAGGAGTCAGAAATATAGAGGGAAATAACTGTGCCAAGAGGATGTACAAATACTATAATTAAACATTAAGTTTAGCACTTACTGAACTTTCTAGCAATGGCAAAAAGGAAAGAGATAAATGATAAAAGAAGGCTAACTTTTTCATGAAAAAGATCCTGGCTTTAAATTCTAGGTGATAAATGTTAGTCTTTTGGGTTTTCTGCTTTTTTCCTCATTTATATTCTAAAGTATAGTACATAGAATTTGAGTTTTATGCAAATCAAATATTTATTCATTTGGCTCATCTGTATGTTTCTGTATTTGGTTTTTTGTTTCAGGGAACTGTGCACTAAACTTTATAGCATGAGCTGGGGCAATACACAGAGCTGGCAAGAGTTTGATCGCTTTTGTGAGTTTAATCCAGTGGAAGTGTCCATGTTGACTTGTTTAGCAGATGTTCGGGAACCTTGCCAGCTGGGCTGTAGAAACCTTACTTATTGTACTAATTTTAACAACAGGTAGGAGCAAATTATTATACATGGAATGGAAATATTTTATCATTAATTACCTTGTTTTTAATTAAGTGAAAAAAACACTTTAGTCTGATTTTGTTCCTGCTAAGCTAAAAGGAAATAGTATTTCTTTATGATTTCATCTTAAAATCCTGTATTCCATCTGATAAATCACCTCTGGGAATGGAAGCACTATAACAAAGTCTCTTCTAATCTAGAGATACTTCAAGCTTCTAGAATTCAGAGTCTCTTCTGCCTTCAGTCTACCATTCTTCCCGAATCCCTTCTACTACACCAGGAGTGGGAACAAGTCATTGCAGAATAAGTCACTGTGAACAATTTGGTCACCCAAATGACTTCTTGTGGACAGTTTAACTTTGAAGGACCTTCAGACTAGTTGAGGTTCCCATTTAATGAATCCCCAGTTTCTTACAAAAAATTTTCTTTATAGAAGCAATTAGAGTAGGTGTTTTCCTGAGGTATCAAGTATAGTAAGAAAAACAAGGGCCAAGAACTAAAAGGCTGAAGAAGCAGGAAAGAAAGCAGAAAAAGGGCTCCGGCAGCATAGAGAACACCATTACCAGAAAATTCAGAGAGTTTCTGAAGAAGAGAGGGCTAGTTAGGTGAGCTGCAGCCCAAGGATAAAGAGGGCAAAAAGGAAGAGAATGATTCATTGGGCCAGAAGGAGGTTCAGAGGATGTCTACTTCAAGCTAACATATATCCTATCCTCTTAAAAGTATTCAGATTATTATATTGAGTAAGAAAATTGAGATATCTTTACGCCTGGTAGTAGAGTGTTAGCCAATAAGTACCTGGTTTAGAGATTGAGCAAATTTGAAATCCATGAAATGTTTGCAGTTAAACTTGGACACCTAGTTCTAGCTTCTGGAAATGGTGAAATAATTTGTATCAGACTGATACTTCTGCCAATACCAATCATGAACTCTGAACATAACATTGAAAAACTGTTGTCTTGAAGGCACTGGAGGGTGACCAAAAGCAGGAGGGGCTACGTCTCACAAAAGGTAGAAAGCACACTGAGTGAGAGCCATATTTGTCCAGTTTTCATTCATGGGCGTGCTCAGTCATGCTCAGTCCTTTTGTGTGGCATATAGAAATCTAGCCAAAAGCAACAGTCTTGGGCTGAAGAGTTAGAGATCCAAGTTTGGGGCTGCCAGAGTGGCTGGACATGTAAGAGGAAAATCTCAGGAAGCAGGGAACCATAAAAGCAAATGCCCTACAGTCTGATACAAACAACCCTTAAATCTTTGAATTTGATAAATAATTGGAAAGTGAAACTTATCTTTTTAAAAATACTAGTTTATATAATTGCATCAAAAACATGAAATATTTAGGGACATATTTGACAAAAGATGTAAAAGCCAGAAAACTTTGCAGAGAGAAATTAAAGACAGCAAATAAATGGAGATAGTATCATGTGCATGGATTAGAAGATTCAATATTGTTAAAATGTTAATTCTCCTGAAACAGATCTCTAGATTCAGTGTAACCCCCAAAAAAATCCAACAGCCTTTTTAAAGTAGAAATTGCCAGACTAATTTTTAAATTCATATGAAAATACAAAGGGCTTAGAATAGCTAAAACAATTTTTTAAAAAGAAAAAATTTAGAGAACTTACAGTACCTGTTTTCAAGACTTATTATAAATAACAAATTAAAACAATGTACTATTGGTATAAATTTGGACAGATGGATCAGTAGGACAAAATAGGCAAGAATATACCCACACACAGTAAACTGATTTTCAACAAAGGCAGCAAGGCAATTCAATGCAAAAAGAAACATTTTCAGTAAATGATGCTGGAAAAATT